ATGATCAGAATTTTGAAACCCTCGAGGTGGTCATGTGCGGCCAGTGTGGCTCGGACCTCTACTCCGTGCAATCATGTCAGACCTTGAGTGGATAAGCCATCACACTGCGACTAATCGACCAGGCAGTCGTTTCCCTGGCGATAATTTATCCGGTTTCGACAAAGCAGTTGCCTCCCATGGGTGCCTTGAGGATTGTTAGAAGGTCAATAGCCATGACACCGATATAATCCTCTCGTAGACTCAGAAAGTCAATAGCCACTGATCACAGGCTCAATAGCCACTGATCACAGGCTCTGCACCATTTATCGCAAAAGCTATTGCTAGTAATTTACGCCAACAGGCAAAATACTTTCCCATGGCGTATAAGTCAAGCCCACCACATACATCGAAAGAGAGGGCTCGTAGCACACACCCGGATTCTCTGCTTGGCTTGGGCCCAAGCTCATCAAAAGCATTTCTGACCAGCCCCACGCAATGCGTTCTGTTCAATCATGGGTAACATGAACTCTACACCACAACGGGTGGACAGCTGTGTGAAGTCAGTACATATATGGAACCTTCTGGGCATATAGCCTTAAACCATGAGTACATTCCCAGCCAAATCTCTCTGCCTCGACCATTAACGTGCTGCAGCTTCCAGGGCTCGGCCTAAAGAATTCAAACAGCCATTCACACCAGCGAAGGCAAAAGAAGTTTGAGCCAGTGTCATTTCCGCAAAACTCACCATGCGGTGGAAATCGACCTGAGGAAAAAGCGGCCTGAAGCACTGGTGGCTCTACGATCAGAATTTTGAAACCCACAAGATGGTCATGTGCGCCCAGTGTGGCTTGGACCTCTACTGCCCAACACCAACCATAGGGATGTGCAATGATGTCGCACCCTGAGTAGATAAGCCATCACACAGCAACTAATCGACCAGGCAGTCATTTCCTTAGCGATAAGTTATCAGCTTTCGACAAAGCAATTGCCTCTCATGGGTGCCTTGAGGATCCTTAGACAGTAAATAGTCATGACACCACTTGAATCCTCTCGGAGACTGACGAGGGAACGACTGACCTAAGCCCACTTATCACAGGATTTGTGGCATTTATCACAAAAGCTAATATTACTAGTCATATACACCAACAGGCAGAATACTGTCCATGGTGTATACGTCAAACCCGACACATACATCGAAAGAGAGGGCTCGTAGTACACAGCTGGATTTTCCCGCTTGGCTGGGGCCCAAGCTCATCAAACGCATTTCTGGTCCGGCCCTTGGATGTTATGTACTCTCGGGACTCTTGTTCACGAGCTACCGACCAAGCCTGCTGATCATACTGAACGAGGCGAGTTGGCACAGCGAGGGCATAATAGGGATAAGCACGATGCAATCGAGATTCAGGTCACGCTGTCCAAACTCCTTACCCTTGACAGGCCTTCACCAAAAAACCATTTTAACTACCACTTCATGAAACTGAGATTTTTTTTTCAATTACACGAGACTGGGCCAGGCCAAAAAGCTGAAAATTCTGAGCATCTGGCTACCCTCACACCGCAAAATACTTCTCGATGTATCTGATCGCGCCTCTACTGACCAAATGCATCCGAGGGCCTGTCATCCTGGCCCGATTTCATTTCATAAAAAGAAAAAATCAGTTTTAAACCACCAGTACAGATGCCAGCTAGAAAATCGAAGTCACAGCATGCATGCTGGTGCATCCCTCGGGAAGTTCCGGGGCGCTGCTATGCTGGCTATCCATCCAGGCAAAACAGGCCTCACACGCAACCCGGTTTGCCTGAATGGATGGGCCACCAAACGGTGCCCTGGTAGTTCCCGAGAGTCACAGCCGCATGCACACCGACACTTTGATTTTCTAGCTGGGAAACATACTGATTATTTAAAACACAACTACAACCCAGGCAAACCGAATAGCTGGGCAAATACAATCGCCACAACCTTCGGGAATCCATGCGACCAGACCAGAATGGCTGGTGCCGCTAGCCAAAGAGATGATCTCACACCTGAGGTGGTCCATTCTTTTTCTTCTTTGGCAAGCAGCGCAATTCGCCTCGGAAAACAGAGGCTCGGATGTGGTGGTAGTTAAACCACCAATACATTTCCCAGCCACTTTTCTCCAACGTACCTTGCATGCTGCCGCAATATTTGAGGATCGGCAGCCAGAGGAAAATGTCAGGTGGCACCAGCCAAAACGAGGCTTGCGCCGGCTCGTTTTTTTGTTGGCACGCACTGCCACACAGGGGATTTTGGGCCCCAGGCACAAGTGGCTCCTAAGCACTCGTGGTTTATAGGAAATGGTAGGTTTAGTCAAGTCTGCCTACCCTGCATTCAATGGTAGTTTAGCTGTTCCTTACTTTCTAAAGCAACCAGGCCAGAACACTTGTTGTACTCTCCTTACCTGCCCTCAGCTCTGTCAATTTTCTCAAGTAACATCCCACAGCATTTGTCACTTCACCACCTGTGTTCTTGAATACTCCCAAACAGAATTTTACCTCTTAAGATATAGGGGCTCGCCACACCGCTGTCAAAATCCTAAAAAAAATCGACAACTGTCAGAAAAAATTAGACAGCCGCTGCTTCGACAGCTCTCCCTCCCTTTTGCCTTACAGCACTGTTGAATGCCCGAACTCGTGAACGCAAGCCCGAAACAGACAAGCGTTCGGCTGTCCCAACCTCGGGACGATTCACCAAATTCCGATGAGCGCTCGATAGCCAAGAGGACTGTTGAAACGTTGCAGTTGCAGGCTGGGGATGGAACTACTTTCGAAAGGATGTGCCGAGAAGATTTCTCTGACAACTAGCAAAGTTTTTTCCCATCTTCATTTTCCAAAGGCTGTGTGGCGACGAGAAACTATCGAAAATTGCATTTTCGACAGTGGTGTGGCGAGCCCCGTAATGATTGCGGGAGTATTCACATTCCTGGTCTAGATTCTGCCCATGCATAACACTGTAAAACGCGATCTCAGAAAATCCCGCAGCCTATACAAGCATAAAGTTCCATAAAGTCAACCTAAAAGCGAAACCAATTTGTTGCACAGATTACAAAATCCAAGCCAATTGTTTTGGTTCACCCCCGACATAAAAACTGAACCACTGCAAAGCTCTCTCTAATCCAAAATCCTAGTTATGTAGGTCTGTGTCAGGACTTATGAGCCACCTATGGCTTCCACAAGCACGCTTTGTCAGGACTCTACTGGAAGCACTCACTCAGGTACATATGCAGACAATCTTGGCAGATGCTCTCTCTCTCTCTCTCTCTCTCTCTCTCTCTCTCTCTCTCTCTTGCACGCGCGCGCGCGTGCACATGCAAAGGGTCACCTTTTACTAGCTCTTCCATGATACTGATACATCTCCCAATTTGGATCCAATCAATACTGCAATCCTGTCCTGGTTACATCAAACCTAATCTCTTCCAAGAGCTCTAATCTGAGATTTAAGGCCTATCATCTTATCCACTACCGTCTTAACCAGATATAAAACGTACGCTGGGTATATTGTACTTAAATACAACGTATGTTCTATTCGGGCAAAAATTCTTCGTTTATTAAATACAACGGGGTATATCCACTACTGTCTTAACCAGATATAAAACGTACGCGGGGTACGTTGTACTTAAATACAACGTACGGGGTATATAAAACGTACGCAGGGTACGTTGTACTTAAATACAACGTACGCGGGGTCCATGTTTATTCTTGTTAGTCATTTTATTTTTTTTCTCGACATGACACTCACGCAAAAATTCTTTGTCGTTTCGGAATTTCAGATTTTCTTGAAAAATAAACCTGTGCAAAATTTTGAACACAACTAACATATGTTCCACCTGACCGCAAGTTCTTTTCGGAAAAAAAACAGCTATTTCTCTGAGAACCCACTTTTCAGAGGTAAGTTGAATAGAACATAGTAACGTACATTCGTGTTTTCCGGGTGAAGTAGTTGATCTCATTTCGACAGATTTCAACTCTAATAGTCTCTCTCATTCTCACTCGGGTATATAATCAATCACCTTTTCCAAGCTCCTCTGTCACCCGAGGCATCTCCTGATTTGGATGCCCCACAATCCGTGGCCAGAAATGAAGAACAGGCAAAAGTGGAGCATAAGCCCTGATTAAGGGGATAGTGTAATGGTTACAGTGTCCGTTACACTAAGCACCATCCACCAAGTTTGGGGAGTAGGTGCGTCGGGGGGGTCACTATGTTGGACAAATTCCGTTTCCCATACACCATTGTGGTAGGAACCATTAGCGCCGTGAACATTTCTTCGAGCCTTGTGAAGAACAACAATATCATCGGCGTATCTTACTATCGGTAGGATAACTTGGCCTTGGGCCGCCTGTTGCTGAGTCCACACTTATCCGAAGCATTCTCCACTCCGTGCAAACAATGTTGGGCAGTATACACAACTCCAAAAAGAAAAGTATGACTGCGCCAGACTGTTTCATCAGGCTTTCACCAGCTCATCAGCTCTGCGTGTGTGTTCTAATGTTCGCTACACACAACTCCACCAAAAAAAAAGCACGACTCTGTGTGTTTGTCTCTGTGGTTGTGAAACAGACATTTACGAACTTTCACACAGATATAGGTTCGCTATAGCAGCATGTGAAGACATAGGTGGCAAGCCCAGGCCTAACGGAGATGGGCATGGCTGGAGGCTGGCCACAGAGGTTCCTTCATTGCACTCCTTAACCAGCGAGTCATACTGCTACCGATAGATAGATAAGGTGACCTTGTGCTCCTCAGCCAGCGAGCCATACCGCTACCGATAGATAGATAAGGCGACCTTTCCCAAGGCTTACCAATGTGCAGGAAATGAGATGAGATGGCAGATCATCTGTGGCACAAAAAATGGTCTGGAATCTTGGGATACAAACCCCAACCAGGAGTGGGAACAGAGACGAGAGAAAAATTGAAAGCATTTACATTAAGGCAAAAAGATAGGAAACTGGCACATGGAAAAGGGGGGAAAAAACTTCTGGTTCCGTGTCAGGTGGACACATACCGATCTTTTGATTTCCCAGACCGTGCACTAGTCACTCTATCCTTGATTTCCTCTGCAGCAAATCCAACACAGCAGGGAAACAAGAAAAGGCTTTTAGTGTCAGGTTTTAGTGAAACTGAGAAGAGGGACACCACCACTCAGAAAAGTGACTTGTAGTCCTCTGTTGCTATTACAGCCAGTATCTGTGGACAACCACTCAAAGAACTATACACAACATTGCATAGCAGAGCTATACCACTTGCCATAGTGTAGATCAACAAGGGTAAGAAGCCTTTGTCAGTGTGTGTGTGTGTGTGTGTGTGTGTGTGTGTGTGTGTGTGTGTGTGTGTGTGTGTGTGTGCGTGTGTGTGTGTGTGCGAGAGAGAGAGAGAGAGAGAGAGAGAGAGAGAGAGAGAGAGAGAGAGAGAGAGAGAGAGATTTCTTGGGGGAAAGAAGGAAACGAGGCCAACAAATCATGTTGTCCAAACTACACCCCCCAATCATTGTCTCACCCTCAGTAGAAAGCCTTAGGTTCACGAACACAGGTCCCCGGTCACTGTAATATGGAAGCCATATGCCCCTTGCCTGAAGCTGGGTGACACAGTTTGATAAATATAGGTGACCTTACCCTGCGATCTTTCATCCATTTTCATTTTCCTGTGTAAAATCCGCATGTGGCCTGTTGAGGGTAAGATGACAGTGAGGATCTCCTCCCAAAAAAAATTTAAAAAAAGGGTAAGATGACAGTGGACAGCTTCCTTGTCTGTAAAACAGATGTCAGTTTGGCTTAGGCACCATCCCACACTCAACTGGAAACACACATCTTCTTGCCATTCATTCCTCATTCATTCCTAACAATTGATGGCTACAATGATGTAATGACATGAACTTCTAGTAGAATGGACATGAAACCTGTAGACCTGTCAGTCGATGCACTCTTACAACTGTAGGCAGGCAAATCTGTCAGCCCAGCATTTAACTGATCTACGGAAGTGTGTAACCACCTACCCTCTTCCCCGCAACAAAAGGTACCCTCATCATCACGGCACCGGGGCAGGAAGGGAGCCAGATTCATGATCAAGGTGCATTGTGTTTGGGGGAAGAAAGCAGTGGCTCACATAACTGTAGCCCCTTGTATTAAAGTTTGGGATCCTTTTGCAATCCCTAATTCCTTGTGCAGTGTCCCTAATTCCTAATAAAGTGTTATGACCAGGGTGCAATCTGGTAAGATCTGACATCAATATTTTTTTACGGCTAAATAGTAAATACTAAAAGGGCCAGAAAATGTAGGAAGTGGGTGTTGGATATTATTAGGGTGATGTAACACCAACTGTCATGTAGGTTTCCTTGGGCTTAGGGCGGTAGCATGCTAGGTTTCGTGTTACGGCCCAGGAGTCCAAGAGCGAGGTGGATCCCCCCCCCCCCTCTCCCCCCTTCCTCCTTTTCTCAATTAATATGACTCAAAGTCGGGTCCAGAGTCCCTTACATGAAGTACCCACTCATCGGCAGTATATCATGTAGCACCTGGTCTTCTCTGAGCAAGATGGATATTATTAATTAATTATATTAAAGTTCCGAAATCCCTCAACTAACCCATGGCAGACCATTCAGCCAATCTTTTGAAAATGGCGTGCAGTATACAGCACCATTTGGGGATCCGACAAATCGGTGCACTAGTTTATTGAGAACAACTAAATCCAGTTGACTGATCTTTTTTAATTCCCTCTTTCAGTATTATCTCCTTTTACCCTTTCAAAAAAAAAAAAAAAAAAAAAAAGGGTGCCCGTCTTGAGATATCATTGTCGAACTGACCAGCCCTAGGCTATTCAGAATGAGTCCGTTCCAGCTGGATTCAAACATAGGTCTGTATTTCAACAGTTCATGGGTGTACCAACTGACTTAAGCCAGTTGGTACTTTCTTTTTTTTTTCAAACCTTTATTTCTCCTTTTTTTACTTCGAAAAACTACCCTATAATCTTCTCTCAAATTATTTTATTTACACCTTTCACTATCTACCTACCCACTACTCCTAAGGCTACATAGAGCGGACCCGTGCAAGCATAGCTACTCTCACAGTCAAGGGTATATTGTGTGTTCCCCATTGGCCTCGTGATTTAGGGTGCAGGGTTGGGCCCGTAAGTGGGGGTCCGAACAGAATAGAATAATTCCGACTACCTGGGGCCGATCAGTTTAATGATGATATCTCAAGGTTGTTGCTCTTTGAAAGGAGGATGAGAAAAAGGATGAGGATTAAAAAAAAAAAAAAAGTCTCTCCATGAACTTCATAAAGAGATTCCTGCATAAGCTTGCAATAATATAGCAGTGCTCATAAAAAAGTTCTTCAATTTGTCTTTCATTCTTTGATGGGTCACTTGCTGAACAGGGAGGGAAAATTGACTGCCTTGCTACGAGCTTGGCTTGACGAGGCGTTCAGCGGAAAGATTTCGGCCACGTCTGGGATTTGGTAAGGACACAAGATAGATACATCACCATCTCCTCTGCGACATCATGCATTGTCCAGTGGAAAGGCTCTACAACGTCCGCGGTATTGAGAGGATGCAAGTTGAACTGTCATATCCTCACCATGATCCCTCTCCTGCGCAGGGGTCCCGCCAGCAACGAGGAATGGATTAAGCGCCTGAATATGGATGGGTTTTGACCAGATATGCGGAAAAGCAGATCAATCACAACTCAGTGCACGTCTATACAAACAAAGCCAGATTCAGGCGTTAAATCCAATCCTCTTTGCTAGAGGGACCTCGCCCCCCAAAACTGTAAAATGCATCTTGTATACACAGCATACTAAGTACAGTGGAATTTCTTTTAATGTTTTTTTCTTTTCCGATAAAGGACCCTTCTCTTTTTCTATTTCTTAAACCGGCAGTAAACAGCCCCAGCCTTGTGGAGAAATCGTTCATCGCCTACGAAAATTTTGAGTTTGAGTAGTGTTCTTAATCAGCTCATGGACATGGAAAGGAAACTAAAAGAAGGAAAGACCACCAAGTGTGTTGGCATGTCATCACAGACTCAAAGGCCCGTGACCAAGCGCTGCCAGAACGGTGTCAGACAATGGACGTTTGCAACACGCATTTCCCTGTGAAGTAACCAACCCAGCACCACATCAGAGCGGGGTCCCCGGCCTGACTCCCAAGCACTAATTTGCAGACGGAGCACATTTAACGGCTGCATTATGAACTCTGACACCCACAAATACAGCACCAAAATACTGTAATCATTTCACATAAATGAAAGGGGAAAGTACGTTAATGTCACCTTCGAATGGGCAAAAAAAAAACACGTCAGCAAAGAAAACCGTACCGAGTTCGAAAAGGCAACGGAAATACCGACGGCCGTGGTTTCAGACCGGGTGTCATGTTTACAGAGCTCGGCCGTGGTGTCAGAGGGTAAACCCAAAAAAAATGAAAATGCCCAACGGATACTTTTGGACCGAAATCGGTCATTTCGTGTTGGCGCATGGTTTCTTTGCCGGCACATGTTTTTTTTGCCTTTAGGGTTTCAAAACATGCCGCGCCCGCCGTTATTTCGAAATGAAAATATACAAAGCCCCATCCATCGCACCACGAAAACAGCTTGTGGCCGAAGAACGATTCCAGTTGTGCTTCGTTTCCAAGCCATTTATTTATCCATCACTAACCGTCTTGGGGCCCCTGAATGTAAATTTGACATCGAGTAATAACCAATCATGCGACAACAATGACCTTGCACTTCCTGCTGAAAAACGATTGTCATCACTCGTTATGTATCCACAGGGCATTGTCAGTGGTCCAAGCTGCTTGGCTGTGGGAGCTCCCTCATTGAAAAGGCCCTTAAATTTAACAAGTGACATTCACGGGACGTCTAGCAGTTGAGAAGCAGTTCTTTCTAAGTTTTAAAATAACCTCAGAGCAAAAAACAAGAAACAGAACCCTGATTAAAAAAAAAAAAAAAAAAAACCATTCCACCAGAACCCTGATACATCCCACCAGACATAAACCCATGCAGCTGCGTTGTAGAAAAATGGCTGGGAAATGTACTGGTGGTTTAAGAAGGCATGAGCCAGCCTTCACTCTAGGGAACCAATTCCCTCCCCGCCAGCCCCTGTTTTCCTAACAAAGCAATATTCTTCTCTCAAATTCTTTAACTAAGCCTACATAGGGGACCGTTGTAAGCATAGCTTCGTCTCAAAGTCAAGGGGATGCATGTTGCCCCCCACCCCACCGAAACAAAGTTCACAATGAGGAACAGAGGAAAATAATAATTCTCGCACTAGTTGTCCGTAGCCCACTGCTTTACATGAAAAGAAGTGAGGACCCCATATTGATGGTCAGCCTCTCAGAGAAGCTGACGAAGCCATTTCAAAATACGGCTCACCCAAGTCTTCCACCAACCCATCTCCCAAGCACATGGTCCACCTCAAAGAGGCCCACTGTATCGCTTGAGGTGAACCGCTAAAATGGGACGATCCTCACCTAAGGTTGTTCCACCTCCCTGGATCAGTTTTGAGATTGAATCAGGAGGAAACTTACCCACCAACACACGCACTAAACCTGTACTGATCCTCATCTACTAAGGCTGTTCCCCTTTCCCTGCATCTCTTCTGAGATGAACCAGTAGGACACCGACTAAGCAACACACATCACACATATACATGCACACACACACACACACACACACACACACACACACACACACACACACACACACACAGAGTGTCACACACACATACACACACACATACACACACACATACACACACACTGTCACACAGACACATATTTAGATTCAAGGGTCTGGACTGCCAGTCTGCTAGGATTGCAGGGTTGGTGTGAGTAAAGTTGACCASTTTTCTCAGGGGTATTGCTAACTCTGGGCAACATGGTGACTCCTTATCCATCAGTCAAAAGCATCCTGGCCAGACTGCCGGCGTTCTGATGAATAGGTAAAAGTCTGACGAAACAGTCTGGCACAGTCATGCTTTTCTTTGTAGAGTTGTGTATAGCGAATACGATGACGCACACACACAAACACACACTGGTCGGTAAAAGTTGGCGACGTAAAAGTCTGGCACAGTCATGCTTTTCCTTGTGGAGTTGTGTATAGTGAACACGACCACACACACACACACACACACATGTCAGGTTGGGCAATTTGAGTGAAAAAATACAAAGTGAATCCAGATGTGAATTCCGGCAGTTCGCACACACAAACGGGCGGATATAGCAATCGTAAAATGGTCATTCCTAACACTAGCTGGTGAAAGACAGTCTGCACAACATTACAAACAGGCCGATGTGACATCCTAAACCGAGAATTCCTAACATAACCTGCCACTGCCTGGCACTCAGTCACAAGAGCTGTGTTTGTCGATCACAAAGACAGTTTGAAGTGGTGTCAGGCATGTTAATCGCCATCACTGATATGCCAGTAGGTTTTCAATGGCACAAGAGCCACCCTCAAACACAGCGCAGTACCAGGAATATCCCAGTTGCCAGAAACACATTTTTTTATTTCTGCTTCAGGCGGGTTAACTGCCCTCACTCTTATGGACCTTTTCTGATTTTTTCCTGACTTATCTGACACCATAGGGGCGGGACGCCAGGGTCTCAGCCTACGGGAGAGGGTTTTATGTGAGGTGAGCCAACACTTTTAGAACAAAGTCCGAAAACCCCACTGCACAAGGCAATTCGGCACATAATGAGAGCTCTAGACACGTTTAGAACTTTAGACTCTTTAGAGCTGTTGTGGCATTTCAATGCCAGTTGTGAAACCGTACACATTTGGAATTCTCCGACTCCATTATGTGAGATTAGAGACTTCACCCGCCTTTCATTGGGATCTTTCATGTGTCCTTGTTGCTTACGTTGAAAGTTCTACTCTGGACTGTTTTGCTGCATGTTGTACTGTGCACCTTTAAACCACCAGTCCGTTTCCCAGTCATTTTTCTAAGGTGTGTTGTGCATGCTGCCGCTTCGGGATGTACCAGGGTGCCGTTTCACTGGAGATCCATCAAGACAACACGGATCGCATGCGCGACCTGTTTTGCCTGGATGGATTTCCAATGAATCGGCAACCCCGTCCCTCCTGCCCGACGCCGTTGCATGCACAGCACATCTTAGAAAAATGGCTGGGAAACGTCCTGGTGGCTTAAGAAGTGAATAGTCCATGTGGATCAAAACTACGATATATGACAATAATACATGTACATACTGATGTGTGTACACATGCTAGGAGTGTATTGTCAATATATGACAACAATACAACATATACATAGTACATACTGATGTTCATAGTAACTTCATACACATTATCAGGTCTATTGTTACTCACCTATGACGTCAGGAAACAACAAAGGGAGGAGAGTACGAGGCACACTGAAACTGTTATTTTTCCATTCTTTTATGCAGTTACACTCACTTATTATTTTTCCTTTCTTCTGTGCAATTACACTAACTTTATACCTGGACATCAGGCAGGCTGAAAGCACCAGGACACGGCCCCCGTCTTGCAGAAAGAACTCGTACTGAACGAATTCAAATTTTGGGGCCGGGCGCGGAGGGGCGCCGTAGATAAATTGAATCGCCAGCCTCCAAAGTGGTACCGGCATCAGCTTCACACCCGCAGCCGATGTATGGGTGTACTGGTGGTTTAAAGGAATTGAGGCTGAGCCCTTACTGCCGACCCTGCCATACGACTACAGATGTATCTCCAAGGTGCACTTTCCTGGCCGCTGAGGGTGGCGTGAAATGACGATCTATGGACTCTTGCACTTGGGGCCAAGCAGATCCCAACGGAAGCCTGTCACAGCCCCCTGCTTGTTGTCGTTTCTTTCCGTCTGTAGTCCAGAACAGCTGTTTCCTTGGGAGCGTTTCTTCACCATTCCCCCAATGTGAAAAAAAAAGTATCCAGTCACCTTCTATGCCAAGAAATTGTAGCCATTTTGTGCAATTGGCAAGTGGTGAAGTAAGGCTCTATATATAATAACATAGTAAATGAAAGTAAGGCTGTATATATAATCACATACTAAATGAAAGAAACCGCGCATTCACCAAATCAATGTCACACACACACGAAAAAAAAAAAACAGCCGAAACGTAATGACAGAGGACAACAACAATAGAAAAGCACACAATCTTTTCATTTTTATTTTATACCACTTTTAATTTTTCCTCCTCGTTCATCCTTGAGGTTAGGCAGGTTCCCCAAATTTATGTGGTTATATAAACGTACACACACATTCGTGAGCAATGGGGGACTGAGCATATAAAACKCCACTGTTTTACTTTTCAACCCGCTGCTGCGGACATCCTTTCCTCCCTTGAAGCAATCAATTCACTCCTTCAGTCCCATCACGGAAGTGAGCAGCAGGTTCCCCAAATTTATGTGGTTATATAAACGTACACACACATTCGTGAGCGATGGGGGACTGAGCATATAAAACTCCACTCTTTTATTTTTCACCCGGCTGCTGCGGACATCCTTTCCTCCCTTGCACCAATCAATTCGCTCCTTCAGTCCCATCACGGAAGTGAGACCACCATGAAAGGATTCGTGTTCATTTACCTGCTCGGATTCGATCCCAGACCCTCACGTACCTGTGCATTTCACCTTGACTGAGCATGCGCAGATCCGAACCCTGGAACCTTACCTGGGATTGTTCAACAAGAGATTACACAATTTTTGTGCCTGTGGAGCCTTTATCCCACGGCCTACACCTGTCTCCTAACAATGAGCTCACTCCCACAAAAGAGGGTCAAATGATTGTCGGTACACTCCAGCAAAAGCAGGACCGTCCAGGAATGACCTATACATTTACGCACAAGCCTGAATTACCTAAACATTTATAATCTTATATACACACCCAGATAATCTGGGGAAAGCCTATCTGTCACAGCCGCCCTTCTCTTCATCCTTTTCTCCCATCCATGAACCGTTCACTGAGTGGATATTCATAAGAATTATCAGAGTCTGTACCTGTACAGTCACTATGACAATATAAATATACAATGCATGTTACAATACCTGTACCCTCCAACCTCCTCCGAAATCCAAATCCATGATAAGCTGAAAAGACTTGGGAGACTTCTTTCTCCCACCAGTGCAGGTCCAAAACTAAAAGTCATCTAAAAAACCCCGATCTTTGTTGGGCTCCTGCCCCGAGAACTTTCAAAGATTCTGTTCCGTAAAGACGTATGGCATGCACATGCGGTTATACCCCGTTGCCATTCTAATCACCACACAGCAACACGTGCAGCCCGAGTGTCGCATACTTGCCTTTGGGTTTCGCATGGCGTGCTGCAGGTGACCCACGGAACCATGTGCCTCTGAGTATGCAAGGAATACATTTACACACTGCTAGTCTTTGGATTGTTTCGTAGATCCTACGGGTGATAGTTAGGCAGTCCCTTACGTCTGGTGGGCCTACCACTCCATAAATGTGGGTGGTGCACTGTTTGGCTGTGTTTGTTATCCTTTTATTTATATTTATTTAAATTCATTTGGAGATGGTTCGCCGTGTTTATTGTCGTTCTCTCCAATCTTTTATTTATTGATTGATTTATTACATTGACTTCTTCATTTTCACAGCTTGAAATTGTCCCCTGCCTGTTTTACTCGGCGCACATTAACACCAGCCCTCTTTCCACGCCGCGTGACTAGCTTTTCAGGGTCACCTTCATATTTGTTAATTTATTATGTTGCGCTCTTCATTTTCACAACTTGCCATTGTCCACTGCCTGATTTACTTAGCGCACATTCACCCTAACTCGCTTTCCATGCCGTGTGACTACCTTTTCAGGGTCCAGGTGCTCAAATGTCAGCCCCAAAGCAATCTCTGTGCAGCTGTGGGAGGGAGCACTTTATGGAAACTTTTTAAGAACCTCCTCTGCCTGCAGTTCTGTGGCTGCCTTGCAACTGCACAAGCCCTCAGCAGAGAACAGATTTATCTTTAGTGACTGTACAAAGGGCACAGCCCATGATTTGTTCTTGGTTTCCGAGAACAACACAAACAAAGGGAAAGATATAAAGGGTAAAAAAACACCTCCCTGTCTGAGCATGTGTGCAACTGCACAGCAACCCCAAAGGAACACATTGACGGGCAAAGGTGGCCTCGTCTTACATCCAACAATAGCAGGATAGTGTAATCATCGTCCCCTTTTATCTTTCCCTCATTCTACCAAACCCAAACTAAATAGGGAAATGAGGAAACCTGCGGCCTAGCCCAGTTGGTTGAGCACGTAGCATTTGGGAGGTCCTGGGTTCGATTTCCCACATTGTCCATTTGATTCCCCGCGGCCCCTGTGGTGCGCTGTCGTATCAAATACCCTTACAAGGGGTATTTTGCGTACTTTTTGCATATCACACCTGGTGCCGCCTTGTTTATAGTTGACGTCGTTCTGTGTAGACAGGGCGCGGCCTTGGCAGGCAAGTGCCAATGTGTGAATAAGAGACATGATGAGACTTGCGAAGGTAGGACTTCAGTGCGAGCTCCGAGCCACGCACGCACATAAGAAGTTCAGTATCACCTTGATAAGCAACACGCGCAGTGTGCCCGACAGCTTAAGTGCACCCCTTTGAAGCTTAGGTGTGCGCAGCATCAAAGGCCAGCGGCGGCATGTCTTGAGCGTGATGAAAGCATGCCGGCAGCTGGGGTACAGTTCCGAGCCCTCGCTCGCGGGGTGCAAGAGTTCGGCAGCCGTGGGAATGACCGCTAAGCTAAGGTGTGGCCTTGGTGCAGGTCGGGTGCCCATCATAATGAGATTTGCGCCACTTGCAACCAGCCTTGGGCCTAGCACTATGGGTTATCACATTGGACTTTCAATCTGCAGATTTGGGGATTGCAGCCATAAGCTGGCAATGAAGGAGCGGAGAAGCATCTTGCAAGAAACTAAACGGGTTAAGGGTCATGCGGGACTATCCGCCTTTTGTTAACTGGTCTCAATCACAGGCCCGGTTGGCAGGACCAAGGGAGTACAAGCAAGCTCCTCCCTCTCATGTAGCTTTTTTATATTATTCTTTCTATTTTTGTCCCGTTTTGTGAACTGGAACTGGTACCAGGACCAACCGCAGGACCGACTCTGAGACCAACAGGCTTAGCGCAGTTTGTAAACTCACAAACTGTTGACATACAGATTCAAGTTCGAATCCAGATATTCTCAGATAAGGACACGCAAATCATTTTGAAATACCCGGGGGGGCGGCCAGTTTGGCACTGCCACTGCTGAGCCGTTGCTCTTAAACCACCAGTACCTCGCCTAGCTATCAAGTCTGAGGCTCGGACTACCGGTAGCCCGATCATTCCCGAGCATTGCGCCTTCTTGCCGGGCCTCGGATAACCGGTAGCACATCATGAAAAAACAAAAAAAAGAAAAGAACATACAACATTCTGCAAAAGATAAAAAGGAAATCAGACATGCCCAATGAGAACGAGTCTTCCTCGATAAAGAGGAAGATTCATTCTCATGGGAGGTTCTCACAGAGAGAGACTGAGAGAGAGAGAGAGGGCGTCAGAGAGTTCGACGCCGAAATGCTACATGAGAGAGGCAGGAGCTCGCTGGTACTCCCTTGGGCCTGCCAACCGGGCCTGTGATCGAGACCAGTTAACAAAAGGGGGATAGTCCCGCATAACCCTTAACCCCTTCAGTTTCTTGCAAGATGCTCCTCCGCTCCTTCATCGCCAGCTTATGGATGTGATCCCCGAATCTGCAGATTGAAAGTCCAATCTGATTTGTGCCACTTGCAACCAACCTTGGGCCTAGCACTATTGGTTATCACATTGGACTTTCAATCTGCAGATTCGGGGATCGCAGCCATAAGCTGGTGATGAAGGAGCAGAGGAGCATCTTGCAAGGGGTTAAGGGTCATGTGGGACTACTCCCCTTTTGTTAACTGGTCTCGATCACAGGCCCTGTTGGCTGGACTAAGGGAGTACCAGCGAGCTCCTCCCTCTCTCATGTAGCTTTTTCGCCAAACTCGGCGTCCGGCACTGTGCATCCCTTCCCGCCACAACTCTCGAAACGTGCAGAATGAGAATGAACTTCCCGCTAGAACATGATGCGCCCTCCCTCTCTCTCTCTCTCAACGTCCAAAAGAGAACGAATTTTCTGCGATAACGCGGAAGATTCATTCTCGATAGGCATAGAGAGAGAGAGAGAGAGAGAGAGAGAGAGAGAGAGAGAGAGAGAGAGAGGGCGTCCGACAATGCGCACCCCCCCCCACACACAACTCTCGAAATGTGCAAAATGAGAATGAACTTCCCACTAGAACATGGGCAGATGTGCCCTCTCTCTCTCTCTCTCTCTCTCTCTCTCTCTCTCAATGTCCAAACGAGAACACATCTTCCACGATAATGCAGAAGATCCATTCTCGTTTGGACGTTGACAAAGAGAGAGAGGGCGTCAGAGAGTGTTTGATGCAGAGTTTCGTGCGCCAAACTTGGCGTCGAACACTCTCTGACGCTCTCTCTCTCTCTCTCTCTCTCTTTCATCCCCCCTCCCCCCGCTGCGGCCGTTTTTTTTTCATTCCTTTCTTCTCATTCTCATCAATGTTTTTTTTCTTTTTTTCTTTTTTCTTTTTTCGGCCCATATTTTGGGAATACTGGTCGTCTGACGGTGGGCACCCCCCCCAACGAGGCGCGTTAACAATCGCATCAGCTTTTTCAAGTTGGGCGAGGTACTGGTGGTTTAATACCGGTCCCGCAAGACATCCATTAAAATTGGGCCGATGAACGGAAGATTAGCGGCACAGGCTTAGCCCAGTTGGTAAACTCGCAAACTCTTGACATACAGATTCAAGTTCATATCCAGATACTTCCAGATAAGGACACTAAAATCATTTGCATTACCCGGGGCCATCAGTTTGGCACTGCCCCTTCATGAAGACCAGCGACTTCGCTTTCATTATAATAGGTGTAGTAGTTGGCACGAACGTCCTTGTAAGGGAGACCGTCGACCTCATGGTGCTTATCATCACGTCATGGTCGTCGATGCCTTGGGTCGTGGCCATTTGATTGGATTAGTGGTGATCTCCCACGCCGTGGGGGCATGAATGCGTGCATGAGAGAGCGAGAGAGAGGATAGGCAGATAGTTCGAGTAATTGGCCATACGAAATAAGCCATGGTCGGGCGACATTACCAAACGCGCATTCAAACGACAACAAAATTTGGCAAAGTATCTCTCCACAATCTAGCGATAGATTCATCCTCATTTTTCACACGCGGGTGAATGCACTGCTGCTTATGCTCATATTAGAGGCCACGTCCGCCACGATACATGACAATGTACCGCTCCAAATCCAAGCGGAAGAATCGTCTTCAATCAGCATATGGTTGAACCAAGCTGGTACCCGTGTTCGCCTTACTAATCACAATCGTTCCTTTGATGATCGTGATTGTGATTTCCTTCCTCGTCATGCTTGGGCCTTCTGCGTGCTTGTTGTTGAGCACGATCGAGTTCGTCTCCCCACGGGCATCCCGACCTTGTGCGCAAGTTGAGGAGAGGAGTTGATGGGAGGATAGACGAAGGACGAAGATGAGGGCTAGGAGTGAGAGAAAGGAGTACAAAGAAGAGGTAAGGAGAAAGACAGGGGAAGCTAACGAAAAAGATGAGAGGAACTTACCTAACCTAGGTGTTCGTCGTAGTCACCAGCGTTTGCGACTCCACTGTCCGCCAACCACGATCTGCAGTAAGAGGTCAGAGAGTGCTTATGTTTGTTAGGAGCCGAAGATGGTGTACTATGCCTGAATAGAGCAAGGTTTGAGGAGATTTCGGTGGAGGCTCGTGGTGGTGGTGATACTGACCTACAAATCATAAGTCAAACTTGAGTACCGGGGCGAAAGACTAATCAAAGTGCTTGGTAGTTGGGCCCTTTCGAAGTTCCCTTCATGACAGTTGGGGCTGCACTCTGCTGAGAGAGGATTGATGTGAAGGTACGTACCTGATCTCGACGATGGTCTGCATGGCCGGCATCTTTATGTACTTCGGTTACTTCTATTGAGAACCACAATTGCTTGTTGCTATAGTTAGGATAGAACAGTAGTGAGATCATGGCCTTGGCACTAAGCGTTGTGGAAGGTAGAAATAATTGTTAGCATTCGGCGTGGTGGTAAATATACACCTTCAGTGACTTATGAGTTTGTTACTTTGGTTCTCCATCGGCGGCATATCAATGCATTCCTATTTTGTTGGACAGCTTGGGTTGTCTGACCTTCATTAAGGCTTGCAATCCGGGAGTGTGCGTCAGGCTGCGAGCCAAGGGATTGGTGGATCGACAAAGGGGTCATTTTTGCGGCTTCTGTCAGAGGGCCGGTACTCTGCATTCTGGTCTTGATCTTACAGTCTTCACTGTGTTTCTGCATCCCTTTTGTATCCGCGAGACTCGATACCTCTACTTTTTCCTTTCTTACTCTGACTAGTTCGGAGAGGAAGGCGGCAAACACGATTGCAACCCGTAATCCATAGGAAGACCTTATGGGAGGTGAGCCCACCGGCTGCGAAAACTTTGTTGGAGCCCAGGTGGGGTTATGGAGGCAGGGAACATTCAGGTATTATACGATCGATTTACATATGTGATCCCATCCCCAAAACTGTACTACTCTCTATATGTTTGAAAGTATGATTGAAAAAACTTATTACTTCTGTTTCTTTTAATTTCGAGAGTGTATCTAAACTGCTATTTAAATAAGTATGTATGAGAATTCAGAATATTTGCATGAGTTCGAACATTATAAATGGGGGAAGGCGGGAGGAAGGTTAGTTTTACTTGCGACCGAGTCAACCAAAGGCCGACTCCATTCTGAGTGCGTGGACTGAGTGGTATGTTTCTTTCCGGGTGTTGGGCTGCTGCATAAGTTGGACGGCCCGATCGAATGTCTTCCTTGGGGTTTCTGAACGAAGGATGGGACCCACAAGTTGGGTACTCAAAATCCTTGTTTTCTTTTGTTGTTGAGCAGAGTTGGATATATTCCGAGTGCGTGTGTCCAGTTCTATGTTTATTTCTAAGGGGGACATAGATAAAGGTATCACACCATTAGTTGGTGTGATCAAGTCATACGTCGTGAACGTAAATGGAACCACACTAGAAAATATGATATACCTGTTTACGTATTTCATCATTGGCAAACTAGACGCCATTTGGAAGATCTAGTCATGTAAGCCAGTAGGAGACATAGCGAATGAAGTGTTACTTGTAGACGAAAATGCTTGCATCAGGCATTCAAATAGTGCAAACGTCCCAACACCAAGACCAGCGGTACCTACAAAAGGTCCAAGGAAGCCACTGCAACGCATGAGACCAAACACCCTGTTCCCTGCTCGCCGAACATCATCATGTTCAAGCGAAGGAGCTTTGTCGGCCCTGGCGCCAAATGGGTTCGCCATGTCAGACATAACCTATAGAGTGTCATTTGTATAGGGAAATGCATGCATAATGCGTTCAACGAAAGCAGGTGCAGAAAGTCCACGCAAGCCACTGAAGGACAAACCAGGCACAAGCGAGTCGCACCACTATCATCGCTCTCAAACCCAGGTGGGAGGTGTCCCCCTCTCATACCTAACGTAGACCAGGGAGTTGTCCCCCTCAAATACCCGAGAGAGGAAATCCAAGAAAGCAAGCAGGGAGTTGTGAGAGCCCAGGAGTTTCGAAGTGTAACCCGTCAGTAGACAAATGAAGAAGAAGAAAGTTGTTCAGAGGTCAACATACCAGCTGGAAGGAAAGGAAGGATTGTGGTTGATGTCGAGGAGGAAAATGGTTGTGGAATTGTGGGGGCAAGTGACATGAACGCCAAAGTGTCAGGAGGTGAGAAACAAGGTTCCAGGGGCCGGGATTGTTTGTCTGATGGTGTTAGAGGTCGTATGGAACCTGCTGGTGAGGTGAGGGGGATGTGTGCATTGGATGGTCCGTTGTCGAGCCGGGTGATGAATGAGACTTTAAAGAAGGCTGGTGCCTTTTCTGAACTTGGAGTTGATGTCGAGATGTTTACCATGGCGCAACTTATGGAGGCAAAGGCTGTGTTGGGATCCCTTCACAACTTTCTTATCTGCAATGTGGAGGACAAGTTATCATATGGATAACATCGAAGAGCGCTTTGATTGGGGAGAATCTTCTAAGCAAAAGCATGACCTTCATGGTCACCCTGATATCATCAAGGTAGTTGGAAATCTACAAGAGGTGGATGTCGTAAAATTGAACTGAGTGGTTGCGTCCATGCTTGCAATAGAAGACTAGAAATTGTTGCTTTACCTATTCTTAGATGGCAAGAGGAGAATTGAGCTTGGGGGGCCGCATTCATCATACAAAGCTCTAATGAAGGGGGTCGATATCTTCCGAAATTTGGTGATGTTAATGAACAATGGCGACATTGGCGAGGAATCACTAGATCGTCACAATTCTCTGCAGTTACTTTATCATGAGATTTGAGGCGACGAAGGAAAACGTGCTTTCTTTTGTGTCATTCATTGAGGCGCACACGGTTGATCCCTCACTAGAATAGAGTTTGTTTCAAAGATTCAAGGCTTTGCAGGTAGTGAAGCAATTTTCAAGGAGTCTGACAATTTGCAAGAGAAACAACTTAAGAGACATAACAGTTATCAAGGAAACAAGTTGAAGAAGGGTCGTTTGGATCTCAACACGACTTTAAAGTGTATGGAGGTTGTTTTCAATATTGGCAGGGACCGAGTAACAAGAAGAACGGTTGTCCTTATCCTTTACCCAATCCCTGCCAAAATTCAAAACATCCTCCATACACTTTAAAGTTGTGTTGAGATCCCAACGACCTTTCTTCAACTTGTTTCTGTGATAAGTGTTATGTCAATTAAGTTATTTTTCTTGCAAAGTGTGAGACTTTTTGAAAATCTGCTTCACTACCTGCAAAGCCTTGAATCTCTGAAACATACTCTATTCTAGTGAGGGATCAACCAGGTGTGCCTCGATGAACAATGTAGAAGAAAGCACATCCTCCTTCATCGCCCCAATCTCACTCTCAAGTAACTGTGGAGATTTGTGACAATCTAGTGATTCCTCGCCACTTTTCATTAACATCACATCCTCCTTCATTGCCCCAATCTCACTCTCAAGTAACTGTGGAGATTTGTGACAATCTAGTGATTCCTCGCCGCTGTTCATTAACATCACTAAATTTTGAAAGATATCCACCCCCTTCATTAGAGGTTTGTACGATGAATGTCGCTCCCCAAGCTCAAATTTCCTCTTGCCATCTAAGAATAGGTAAAGCAACACTTTTTGGTCTTCAATTCCAAGCATGGATGCAACCACTCTGTTCAATTTTACGGCTTCCACCTCATGCAGATTCCCAACTACCCTAATGATATCAGGGTGACCATCAAGGTCCTGCTTTTGCTTAGAAGATTCTCCCCAATCAAAGCGTTCTTCGATCTTATCCATAAGCAACAACTTCTCCTCCATATTGCAGATAAGAAAGTTGTCAAGGGACCCCAACAGAGCCTTTGCCTCCACAAGCTGCGCCATGCTAAACATCTCGACATCAACTCCATGTTCAAAAGAGGCACCAGCCTTTTTTAGAGTCCCATTCATCACCCGGCTCGACAACGAACCATCCAATGCACACTTCCCCCTCACCTCACAAGCATGTTCCACACCTCTTAACACCATCAGACAAACAATCTCGGCCCCTTAAACCTTGTTGTTCACCTCCTGACACTATGGCGTTCATGTCACCTGCCCACACAATTCCACAACCATTTTCCTCCTCGACATCAACCACTAGCCTTCCTCTGCTGCCACCTGGTATGTTCACCTTTGAACAACTTCCCTCTTGCTCGTTTCTCTGCTGACGGGTTACATCTTGAAACTCCTGGGTTCTCACAGCTCCCTGCTTGCCCTCTTGGATTTCCTCTCTCGAGTATCTGAGGGGGACAACTCCCTGGTCCGCGTCAGTTATATGAGGGGGACACCTCCGACCTGGGTTTGAGAGCGATGATGGTGGTGCAACTCACTTGTGCCTGGTTTGTCCTTCAGTGGCTTGCTTTTTTGCACCTGCTTTCGTTGAACGCATTATGCATGCATTTCCCCATACAAATGACACTCTTTAGGTTATGTATCCTGGAGTTTTCCCTGACATGGCTAACCCATTTGGCATCAAGGCCGGAAAAGCTCCTTTGCTTGAACAGGATAATGTTCGACGAGCAAGGAACAGGGTGTTCGGTCTCACGTGATGCAGTGGCTTCCTTGGACCTTCTGTAGCTACCGCTCGCCTTAGCGTTGGGACGTTTGCACTATTCGAATGACTGATGTGAGAATTTCCGTCTACAAAATAACACTTCATCCGCTTTGTCTCCTACTGGCTTACATGGCTAGTACATAAACAGGTATATCATATTTTATACTCTGGTTCCATTTACGCTCACAGCTCACGACTTTATCACACCAACTTATGGTGTGATTAACCTTTACCTGCAACCCCCTCAAAAATAAACATAGAACTCGACGCACGCACTTGGAATATGTCCAACTCTGTTCAGCAACAAAAGAAAACAAGGATTTTGAGTACCGAACTTGTAGATCCCATCCTCCGTTCAAAAACCCCAAGGAAAACATCCGACCGAGCGGTCCAACTTATGTAAGCTTTCTCAATAATACGTTAAAACACATAGATAGAGAGTAGTACAGTTTAGGGGATGGGATCACACATGTAAATCGATCGTATCCCTAAATGTTCCATGCCTCCAGAACCTCGCTTGGGCTCCAGCAGAGCTCCCACAATTGGTGGATTGACCTCCCACAAGGTCTTCCTACAGATTACGGGTTGCAATCGTGCCTGCCGCCTTCCTCTCCGAACCAGTCCAGACTCAAAGGGCAAAAGTAGACATAATAGAGTTTTTAACATACAAGTGGGGTGCTCGCCTTGAAATCTCGAATTGCCTGAGGGTCCCGCAATAGTGGCCAAAAACACATTAAAGACTGTCAAGTCACGGCCACAATGCAGAGTACCAACCCTCTGACAAACCTCCAAGTCGCAACAATGACCCCCTTGTTTAACGTTACATACAGAGGTCGGCAATGCAGACCATCGTAGAGCGCCTAGACCACGATCTCACTACCGTTCCATCCTAACTATAGCAACAAGCAATTGTGGTTCAAATGAGAATTAATTGAAGTACATACAGATGCTGGCCATGCAGACCATCATCGAGATCAGGTACGTACCCTCGCATCAAATCCTCTCTCAGCAAACTGAAGCCCCAACTATCATAAGGGGAACTTCAAAAGGAACCAACTACCAAGCGCTTTGATTAGTCTTTCGCCCTTGTACTCGAGTCTGACGAACGATTCATACGTCAGTATCACCGCCATCGCGAGCCTTCACCAAAATCTCTTCAGGCCCTGCTCTATTCAGGCATTGTTCACCATCTTTCGGCTCCTAACAAACATACACATCCTCAGACCTCTGACTGTATATCATGGTTGGCAGACGGTGCAGTCGCAGATGCTGGCGACCACGACGAACACCTTGCTCAGATAAGTTCCACATACGAGCCTAATATGGGTATTGGCCCAGTATCTCTGGGTTGATATTTTGACATGAAACGAATGATGACTGTGCCATTCAAAAAAAAAAAAAAAAATCATTAAAAAAGTTAAAAAAATAATAAAATGCTCAGGCCCTGCAATGCAGTGAAACAAAAAGTAAAAAGTGAAAAAAAACAAAATAGTGAGTGGGCAAGCATGTTTTGACACCACCAGCTTTGGCGATTTTTAATTTTGTTTTGGCTTAGCAAAATTACTTATAGAGAGCTCACAAAACAAAATTCAGGAGGCCCCGAAATAGTTCTTGGCGGGAGCCGAAAACCTTCGTGTTCGGACCCCGAACAGGACCCCGAACGCCCGCACGTACGAAAGTTGGCCCGGGGACCTCTGTACGTACGGGCTGGTGACCCTGCTTGTAAGGGTATTTGGTACGAAAGCGCTTCGGGTTCACCAGCTGAGATAGTTGGCTTGCCCCCCTGGCTGGTCTTGGCGGGGCTGTCTCCTTCTGTCCCTTCGATAGCTCTCTGGGGTTAGCCTTGAACCGAGAGGGTTGTATTTAATACCTAGTGACAGACCGACCTACCTCTGTTAGGTAGTGCGAGCCTGCGAGGTATTTTGCAAAAAGAGTATCGAGTGATTAAAAATAAAAAAATAAAAAAAAATAAAAAAGCAAAAGAAAAGTAGACAGGTGTGGGTAAGTACGTACCCGCTACCATCTATTTCCAGATGTCCATTACATCAACGCAGCAAGCTGTATGCTGAGGTCGCTATCTCTCTTCGAACTAAGAATCAGTAACCTCAGCTAATTTGTCCTGTCGTTGTCTCTGCTGAGTGCTTGTCCAGTTACAAGTCAGCCACAAAACTGCAGGCAGATGAGGTTCCTGGTGCAACAACTCCACCTGGCCACCCATATCAACACAGTAGGCCAGAATAGAGCAGAGCACACACATATTCCTTGCCTCGCCTGGCTCCAAGCTGGATCTATATTCAACAAGTGAAAAGGGGGCAATCACAAAGCCCCCCGAACTTTGGTTTATAGGAGGGACGTGCCAGGAGGAGGGACAACACTTCTTGCGTGTAAAGTTGCCCACAAACTGTAGATCCGTGTATAACGCGTAGATTACAAGTATCACACAGTTGCCCATACTCCAAAGCTACTCTACTTTTTTTGAAGCATGTGAAACGTCATCTCCCTAGGCATTGGCACTATCGAGAGAGAGACCAGATCTACACTATGCAGCAATAAATAATATACATGGAGGTTATGTTGTGCGAGCTGCCTATTGACCGGGACCTGAGAAAACGAAAACAAAATTGTATGGGAACTGCTGCATACATGAGAAGTCCGCCTGCTACACGTGCATATGAACTCGACGACAAAAAAATTGCAAAATGCCAAAAGCGACTAGGCAGCATTGCATGTGGCTGAAAACAGCCCAGTCACATTTTTTCCCGATATTCTACCTTGTTTTCCTCAGCTGGAAATAATCCACCCAGGCATATCTAGTCTTGTGAAACTGGCTGGATCCATATTCTCACAGAAAATCAAGCACTACGGGCTTTTGTTTGACTTTATGTTGCCCAGTTTTGTTCCCATTTGGGACAAAGGCTGTCATTGGCATGGTCAGTTTATACTCCCCTTCGTCACCATCATCCTCCATTCGCTCTTTCCGCCTGTTCAAATCTTATTCAACTCCTACTGTGGGACCTACTGGTACTTGTAGAACATAACACCATTTCTCCTCTCCGGCCCCCCATCCTCCCCTTTTCCCCTTCCTCCGCTATCCCTTTCATGTAGCCTGCAAGACCTTGCCATGAATGCAGTGAGTTGTGCATCCATAGCATGCACTGTGGATGCACAGCACAATCCCACTCATTGGGCTCTGCATTTGCTGGAATAAGGTGGCGAACAAGGAGAGCCAGGACAACAGGAGGATGGGAGGATGACAATGAAGGGAAACAGGCACCTGAATGCAGCACACAAATCTGGAAATGGAAAGCCACCAGAACAGTGAGGAAAAAAAAGAAGATCGCAGGATAACTACCACTTCACAACCCCAACAAAGGGTTAACACTTTCTTTCAGGGCTGGGCTAGCATATTCCCTGAATTCCGTTTGTCAGATTAGCCTGAAATGATCGTGATGGGTCACTTTGCAGTCTCCTAAATGCCCGTGTTTCAAATCTTCTGCTGGCACAACGGTGCAGGAAGGCTGGGAAGGAGGCTAGGAAGGAGTGCCTGCCAAGGAACCTTGGGACCAGACCATCGTGACAAAGACATGCACCCACTCAACCAGCATGATTGTGAATGGAATTTCGGAGCCTCCACCAGCACCTTGGGCATTAGGATTTCAGACACTGTAAAGATGCACTGGTGACGACATCATTTTGACATAGCATGTGTCAACACCATCTTGCTGGTGCCAGTTGATACATGCATGACCACCTGTGTCACAAATTCCCAGCAATACACTCCTCCCCTCGGGAGCGGAGGATAGCCTGTGCACCAGCCCTACAGCTTGACATCCCAACCCGTCATCAGCAGTGGCTGACGTGGTGTCTGCTGGTACCTTCGTGAGCACACCTGTACTCAGAAGACTATTCTTCCCCCCTAGTAAGCTGAGGGGTCCGCCAAGCCACACCTGCCCAGACTAGCAGCTGCAGGCTGCCATCCCGACCAGTCATCAGCACCAAGTTTGACCAGGATCGCAGCTGTAGGCTGACGCCCTAAGCTTTCATCAGCACCTTGGAGAAAGCAGGGCACTCCCTCTGCTCTCTGCTGGCATCAAGCTTGCGTAAAACAGCCTTGTATAGGCTTGGGAAAGGGGTGAGGGGTTGACAGCTTGACAGTGATGGATAAGGTTACAGGCTTCAGGTGCTCTGTGCACAGAAGACCAATGTGCGTTGTGAATTTTTTGTCCTGCTCCCTCAGGTTCTATCAGCCCTTCATGGCGCTCCTCCTAGTGGTCCTACTGGTGCTCTACTACTCAGCCCCCAGCTGTTCATGCTCTTTAGTTGTGGCTTCACCACTGCTCCACCTCCTGTTCTAAACGCCTACTGCGCCTGCTGCCCCTACTGCTTCTCATCAAGTTGTGCCCTCGTCTGCACAAGGATAGCCACACAACTTTCTCGCACGTACTACCTAGAACGGGCTCAGCCCCCACTT